TGAGAGTATCAATTATATTATTGAATTTTGAATTATGTGAGTATGGAGTTTGTGTATGTATAAGCATGTGAATATTCTGATAAATAAATAAAATGTTCGGTGGATTTCAGATTCGCTCATTTCATTACTCTCAGATGCTTGCGACTTGAGGTGGATTTCAGACGTTGCTTTAGACGTTAAAATTTTTTCAAATAAGCTTTTATTTTAGTAAACGGAAATTTGGAGCATAAATTTTATCCCAGCCATGTTTCAAATTGGGATGTGTAAGAAATTGGTTTTTTTTAGCCGCTTTAAGTTTAAGTTGGTCTGGGTTCATTTTCAATTTATAAACACAACTATTTGGTTGCGTTTCGATTTATTTTCAATTTATAAACAACCATTTGGTTGCGTGTCGGTTCATTTTCAATTTATAAACAACCATGTCGTTGCGTGGCGGTTTATTTTCAATTTATAAACAACCATATGGTTGCGTGTCGTCTCATTTTCAATTTATAAACACCCATTTGGTTGCGCAATACCATAATCAGCTGTTTTCCCAACAAAAAATATTAAATTATTTAGGAAAAGATGTAAAAAAATTTTTTTTTGAATAAACGCAATTATTAAAATCAGGTAAAAAGCTGTATTTTGACGAACGTTTTCGGATTAAAATTATAAAATTGCATTTGTGGTTGAAAGATGGAAAAATTGAAACGATATTAATAGAAAAAAAAAACTAGTCTAGAAACGATTTTGCTTCATATACGGAGTCTATTGAAAAATAAAATTTTAATTTTTCAGTTTTCAAGAACGCTTGGTAATTATACATGAACCAAATCGTTATTAGAATAATTTTGTAGAGATTCCGTGCCCTAACTCCCCTTTAATAATAAGGAAACATTAGTTGCTAAATATCCCAAAGTTTTCCTTTGTTTTGCCGACGGCTTTGCATTTAACAGAATTGAATCCGTTTTGTCGATCAAGTTCAGCATTTGATCTGTTATTTAACAGAAATGAATCCCTTTTGTCGATTAAGTTGGGCATTTAACATCGTCTACCTCCTCCACCTCTTTGCTGGCGCCCAATTACGTGCGCAGATCACATGCAACTTATAACAGAAGCATTATGTAAACGTCAACGCAGCGCAAAATTTCTTTTGAAAAATTACGTTTTTGAAACAAAATAAAATTAATAAAGCCAAAAAAAGTTGTCGCCCTATAAAATTAGATTCCAGTATGTATTAGATTAATTTTTTCTTTTATTTTTAATAGAATGACAACTCTCGAACCGTATTATGCTTTAAATAGGGACCGTAAAATTTTGCTTTGCTTTCAAAAGTAGATCTAGTTTTGATTGTTTTATCAAAAGCAACGCACGCAGCAATTTTGAAAGCAAACATTGCTTAATGTTAATACAATTCACAAAACTTGATATGTGAACACTACGGCCGACATTATTAAGCAAGGTACTTCATGTAGATACTTGTCCTTTTCTAGTGCAACCAGCGAGTTGACAGTACCCTACGTAAGATAGGTACAATTCTCTAAGAAAATTTTATATTCATATTTATACCTTCACTTAATGATTCATTTTCTTAGTATAGCAAACAATAATTAATTAAGAACATTTTGGTTTGTAAACTCTAGGCAAATATGTCAAATAAAAATATAATTAATAAAAATAATATTTTTTACACATTTTGACGAATCTTCGAATCTTTTTTGCCAAATAATAGAAAAAGAAGATATCTTTAATTTTTGCTGGCAAGACTGCTATCAAATTGAGAGAAACGTCAGTGTTATAGAAGAATTTTTTGGGAACAAAGTAAAATTTTATTACAATATTTTTCATTACATTCTTGTCGAAAACTAAGTGAGATAGTGGTTAAAATGGATTAATAAAATTGAAAAAGTTTTACTTAAACGTAGAGTGCTGATACCAACTTATATACAATCCTAAACATATATTCTTTATATCTATATATATACAGAATATATATAAATAAATAGAATATGCGTGCAAATGCAGAGAAATATATATATTTAATACATAGTTAACATTTATATACAAATGTATATACACTTATTTGTATATAAATGCCCTGCGTATGTATATATGTTTATGGATTTCTATTATATGTCTGTTTGTAAGCAATATCAGTAAAACGTCTTATAATAAAGAAGCGATAAAAATACTAAACTAAAAGGAGTATCGAAAGAATGACATGAGTGTATGAAATAAAAATTCGTTTATAACAAAAAAATAAACATTATAATATTAAGAAATAAACAGAACAGAAAAAAATCCGAATTTTAATCAAATTGTCATCGACTTGATTTTTATTACCCAGTCTACAATCTACAATTATGTTGGTCTCCTGCAAATGTTTAAATTTTATTGCGGTTATCCATAGCCAACAACTGCCGGCTAACTCTGCACGTGAAGCAACGTCTGTCTTTGGAATAAAATCTAATAATGGTACGGTTGCAGAAGCAGCTAATTCCACCCAATGCAATAATTATAACGAATCAACAAGTATGTCTTCCTCAAATATCAACAGCATTAAAAACATCAACAGCAATAAGAGTGACGTTTTAGCTTTATCAGATGCTTTAAGGAAAATATTTCTGCAAAAATATCCAAGGAATTTTGTATTCTATTCCAGCTGTATAGAATTTTTTAAACAGGTAAGTGCACAGTTGTTTATATAACAAGTCATTAGTTTTGAATTTAAAAACTTCAACTAGATATCAAATGAAATATATGAACAGTGCGATTTTATTCTTAATCTTGCCTTCCTAAAACAAGTGTTTACTCCAATTTCCTCCTTTCGCAAAGCTCATTCTGCGCCTGAAATTTTCTTCAAGCTACCATGTTTACGAAATTGTAAAAGTCAAGTGTTCCAGAGAAGCAATCGCGTTCAGGTTACAGATGTAAAATGCTTGTAAGATGAGCATTACTACAGTAAAGGGCGAATCTTTCAAATAATTAGTTAGAATGTAAATTGTATTCGTTTTAGTCGAAAAAAAGCCTGAGCCAACAAAGTTAACAAATCCTGCAATCATTCCCTTCGCTTAAAGTCAATTGCTCTTGGCTTAAAAAACATTGCCTTAAATAGCTGCTGAGGTGAAAGTAGTAAATACTTCTCCGGTTGGTAGTATTCCTAGTTTTTGTTGCAATGTTCTTAGTCTGAGCAATAGCGATTCTAAAATCGAGATCGTATTGTTGAAGATGATAGTATTGTTAGAAACGGAAAAATTTAATGAATTCTCATATCCATTATGAACACGCAAATGCACATAATTACTCCTAAATATATGCACTGCAGATAATTGTCTAATTCATCACCGAAGGATCACGGGTATAACGGGGTGTCAAAACGTGAGCAACGCCCAGAGGGAAGCTTCAGAGACCCCATGACGTATACACATTCTTAATTTACATCAAATTCTAAATCGATTTTAACATGTCCGTCTGGATGAGGTTTGTTGTCAACATTCTCCTGGTCGCAATAATTATGCTATCAGCTTCAAATCTGTCAGAAACATTGGAATTTCTTGCACGCAGGATGATATTGAAAATGGGCCAAACCGGTCGAACGACACGCCTACAATAGCACATATATTGAGAACTCTTCTGTTTTTGAGAAGGAATAAAAAAATGTTTTTTTGCTCGTCGCTTATAAATTGTATATTCTAGGGGCGATGGCATGACACCTGTATAAAAAGGCGAAAAATTAACGACAACTACCCAATATTGTAGAGTATCAAAATTTAATTTTTTTTTCAATACTTTTATTACGCATAGAAGCAAACTTCAAAAATTCCATAAACTATATAAAGTCTTTACCAGTTTGAAATTCGAAGTGCACTTAAGAATGTCCGCAGAGATGACTATGTTGCATACATACACGGGGAAAATGCCCCAAATTTTTCAAAGAACACCACTACGACGCCCATACGACTGTCCAACAAAAACTGGGTGCAGTTTTCCGCATTTTTTGCTTGTCGCTCATGCTGTACAACAAATACACCAAATAAATTTCAATATTTATTCTGAAAATAGAAAAAAATCAGCCGCGTCGACCCGCGATATTATAGAGTATGAATATTTAGTTCTCTTCCTTTTTTTGGGATCACGGTCACAGGTACAAAAGTTTCGATCACGACTGAATATAATTTTCGTAGTTGTTTTCGTTTAGGATTTATTTCGACACATTAATATTTTGTGAGGAATAATTTTTGGTGCCGGCAAAGGAAGTTGACTGCTTTGCATTAAGATGCGTCAATCCATTAACGGTTTTAGTGTATGCACTAACATCTAAAGCTATCGGTTTTATTGAGAACATTGAGGTTTGAAGCCACGACCATGTTTGTGAAGATGCCTGGCCTGCTCAAGGCAAGTCAGATGGATACAATTAATTAATTTAGCAAATTAACGTAAATCGAATGTTTTTTTATTTAGTTTTATTATTATTTTTAGATTTTTCTTTATATATAAGCACTAGCACCTGAGGCTATCGGTTTATTTGTCCTACGTAATTTATTATTATTATTATTATTATTATTAATTTCGCCAGAGAAATAAATTCTGAGACTATGAACTCTTAAAGCATTGGCATCTAAGGGTATCGGCTTTTATTAAAAGCTCTACCGCACTTGATATTCGAACCCATGACGATTGAGTTGCTAGTCGCCTTCGGCCACTCAGTCGGATCCTACGTAATTTAATAATTATCTTTTAAGCACATTTGCATTTGAGAATTGCAGTAATTTGTGGAGGAAATTAGTGTAGCTCCCGCGACAAGGTTTTTCAAAATAGACGCAATCATTCTTATTAAATATTTGCTTTTCGGAAAAATTTTTAAATGGAACTGAGAGAGCAATTTTTGAATAGGTTTGTAAAAATTTTAATATCAAATATGAAAGCAATACACCTCACTATTTCGAACGATTACATAAGAACGGACAATTATATTTGAATTTCAATTTTGTCATTTGACGGATGAATCAAATATATGAATGTCAAATTCCGACATTCGATTCAGTAATAAAGATCTTGTGGATGGTCTAAACAATTATTTCGTCTCGCCGTTTCGCCTACTTAAGATAAAACATATGTTCCTTTTTAGATGAATCGAAAAAGTTCATAATTATAATATTTATATAACTGATAAAGAAGAGGAGCGTAGTGAGGAAAAGGGAATGAGAGTTTTGTTGACAAATTCACGCATGATGTGACTTTTATTTCGTTTATTTAAGTTCTTTTTCTTTCTCCCTCATGCTGTGTATAGACAATATTACATAAACATATATAATGATCGATCTGATCTAAAGTTTCATTAAATGCCGATGCTCTGTGACTTTAAGGAACATAAGCGGAGACGTAGAGAATTTACGTTTAAAAGGAAGCCTTGGAAGTCTTACTTCGGTTAGAGAGGTGACGTGCCGTCCAGTAGTGTGTGAAACAATGTGTGCACATACTTGCATAGAAATATCTTACACCGTGTTATTGAACGGTACTCATGTGTTAAAAAGCTTTTTACTTTATTAGTAAAAAAAAAAAAAGTTGTTTTTGTTTTAAATTCTTTCCTTTTTTTTTTTTTTTTTTTTTTGCTTAAATAAAAAATTTTCGTAAACAAATGAAAGCACAAAGACGAATTAT